TCGTATTTTGTTAATTACACAATACAAACTAACCATGATCAGAGCTACATAATGAAAAGGCAGGCAATTTAAAAGTTTTCAAAGGATTTTTATCAGTTTAAATAATGAGGTTGCCATGGATTATTACAGCTCTTCTGTAACAGAGCAGGTGGAAACTAACTCTACGAAATAGCCCTCCACATTGATTGGGTCAAGATTTATCCCCAGCCTGCCTCCAAACTGAGGCGAATGCTTAGACATGTTTAAACTGGTTTAGGTATTTTCTAAGACAGACCATCTATGTCGAAAGGAAAGCAATACTGCACAGAAACCAATAGCAATGTTCCAATGGAACTAGGGCTGGATTCCACAGATGCCTGAGGGGAAGGGGTCAACCAACACCGCCCGAATCTATGCAGCCTTCCAAAGACAGCCTGCACCTGCCCAAGGTCTGAGCTGCTGTTTATGACTGGAGCACTGTATTTGCTTCAAGCTCACACATTTGTTAGAAGTTCTAAAATGTTTAAATCATGCATTATTGAATTAGTGTTCCTTGCTCAGCCTGTTCTACATGAGGAGTTAACGATGCCAATCCCGTGCTAAATGGGGAAACACTAAGAAATGATTTAAACCGTCCGTAAATTTTATTTGGAAATTAGTGAACACCTCATCATGATTTCTAATTAAAACAGCTCTAATTAACATAGACATTCATTAGCCCTCTTCCTGCCCCTCTCCCACAAGACACTGAGGCGCAGCAGCCTTGCAAGGAGCTGCCCACCAGCTGCAGGAAGGGAGGGCGATGTGCAGATAGGCAGTCCCTGTATCTATTCTGGGAAGCACTGCTCACCTGAGCCTGGGCGCTGCCACTCATAGTCCGGGAGCCGCCAATCACTTCATCTACAGGCAGCGACTCACTCGCTCTCCAGCTGCAGCAAGCAAAATCTCCAAGGACTTCGGAGCAGTGCCTTTTGTTAAAATCAGTTTGAAGAGACAGGTCTAGGAAGTGTCCATTCAACTGACAGCAGAACGAAGCAAGAACTGCCTTCCCACTGAAGGTAGGGCATCATGGGGCCTGGGCAGCCCTGCATACCTACAGGATAGCCTGGGCTAGTGTGCCGATCTGTGTAACCAGAGGAGCCAGAGGACACCCAACCCCCATAACACCCTAAAAGGGCCTGCCCACAGCAGGTCTTGCAGGCACACGCTTCAGCTGTAAGGGCTACTGTGTACCTGCTGAGATGCACAAGGCCACATGTACTAATCTGGGGAAGATCATACTAGTAGCCACTGGGTGCAACAACAGATAGTGGAAACAGTGCAGGCCCTGGGCATCACATCAACCCAAGACTGCCCACTGTGTACCACAGAAAGACTGTGCTCACAGTGTTACAGTACTGGGTCTCAGACTCCTGTGTCTGTGTCCCATCAGAGTTAGAAAACGGGCTGTGAAACTGCCCTCAGTCCTGGCAGGCAAAGTACTGAAATAGCTATGCTATGACCAATGACTCCCTACTATGAGCCCAATGCTGCCTTATGGTAAAGGCAGATCCACAACAGGAAGCTAGGACTGCAGCTGGTGTAGAACAGCTATCAGGAGTCAGGGCAAGCCACTTAAGTCTTTTTTGGTGTAATACTAGGGACTGAACTTCCTGCCTCAAAGCTGCTAGTCTGCATTGGTGGTGGTGGTGCAAGCCTTTGATCTCAGCACTCAGGAGACAGAGGCAGGCAGACCTCTGTGAGTTTGGGTCTACAGAGTGAGTTCCAGGACAGCCAAGGCTACACAGAGAAATCCTGTCTCAAAAAATGGTCCGGAGAGATGGCTCAGAGAGGTTAAGAGCACTGTCTGCTCTTCCAGAGGTCCTGAGTTCAATTCCCAGCACCCACATGGTGGCTCACAACCATCTATAATGGGATCTGCTGTCCTCTTCTGCATGCAGGCACACATGCAGGTGAACACTGTGTACATAATAAATGAATCTTAAAAAACAAAACAAAACATGCTAGGCTCTACCACTAAGCTAAATCCCCAAGCCTCTTTGTATTTTGAAACAAGGACTCACTAAGTTACCTAGGCAGCCACTGAAATCACTCTAACCCAGGCCAGTCTTGAAGTAATGAGCCTCTTGCCTTAGCCTTTCAACTTAATTCTTTTACCATCGGGCCCAGCTTCCACTCAGCTGCCTGCGTGCATGGTTATTACCATACAGGTAACAGAGCCATGGGTACAAGCCACAACAGATGGGAAATGGAGCTTCTTACCTAGCTTCTGGAAAGGCAAGTTGCTGTACCTGGAGCTAGCTAAACTAAATGCAGAGCTCTGACCCAGGGGGTTGCATGTCCTCACCACCACCCAAAGGCCTCACAAGTGGCCTGTAGGCCAGAAGACGACTCCCAGTCTCTGTCAGCAGCTAGCCACTCAGCAGTCAGAACACAGAGATAAGACATGAGGTTATGGGAACAGCATCCAACAACATCCAGCTTTACGTACCTTACAAAGCCGCAGAAAAAGAACAGCCAGGCACTAAGACACTCGGGGTTTGGAGTCCTGCCAGCCCCACTGCTGTCGATCCCAGTTAGGAAGTGCAGGCTGGTAATACCTAGGCCTGGAAACGTCCGTCTGTGCTGCCAACGAGCATTCAAAGCTCTGTGGCCACTTCCTGGGGCACTTCTTTCCAAGGATGTCCTCACACTTCCAAGGCCCATCAGCAAGGTGATATCCACAGAATGTAGAAACTGGATTGGCAGAGTTTTCCAGAGATGGATTGGGGGTACACCTTTCTAGCCAGGCACAGTGGCACGTGCCTTTAATCCCAGAACTCGGTAGGCAGAATCTTTGTGAGTACAAGGCTAGCCTAGTCTACAAAGTAAGTCCAACCAGGGCTACACTGATAAATCCTGTTTCAGAAACAAGAACAAAAAATTACAACTCTTTCTGACTGCTGCAGTGTGGGCCAGAGCTGTCACTTTCCTCAGGGCTAGAGAAGTGTTCCCCACTATAAACATACCTTGCTCAAAATTCAGAGCTGACTTAGATGAGTGACACAACAAGACACAACTCTCATAACATGTTAATGACACATACCAAACACTGCTAGACAGCGTCAACGGTAGCACCTTAGTCCTGCGAGGGCCATGAACGCAAGGGTTTGCTGACTGAAGAAGCAAGGCTGCCCTCTGCTGGCCCACATCACACATAGCCTCTGCAAAGCTGGGGCCGTCAAGGAGCTGCCAGGAGTCTGGAGCTCCCTCCTGCGTCCTCCAGCTCCAGCACTTCCTGTACTGCACATTCAATGTACCTACCAGCTGCTACAGAGTGCTCAACAGCAGAGTCTCTAGTGCTAGACGGGGGATGCTCTTGGTTTTAGGCTGGAGCAGTGGATGGCTTCAAATTTGACCTTTTTCTCAGTAAAGTCCTGTGTTTCCACCTCAAAGCTACTTTCCAAAACATAAAATTTACAAGTCAGACTGCCCAGGTCAGCTGTCCCACTAACTTTTACGAAAATGCTTCTCAACCTTCCTAATTCCTCATGTTGTGGTGACCCCCAATCATAACATTATTTCATTGTTACTTCATGACTAATTTTGCAACTGTTATGAATCACAGTGTAAATATCTGGTATGCAGGATATCTGACATGTGGCCTCTGTGAAGGGGTCGTTTGACTCCCAGAATGGTCATGACCCACACGTTGAAAACTACTACTCTAAGGCTAGGTTCAGGGACAAGGCTCAGGGTCCAGGTTTGGGATTTGGGTTCAAGACAGGATTCCATGGGAAAATGGCAGCTTTGGTGCCTGCTGTCTCTGTTTGGAAACCAGCAGAGAGAAGCCAATGAGATAGATATCTCAGCAAGAAATGGCACTTGCCAATGACTTGAGTCTTGTCTCTGGACCTACATGGCGCAAGGAGAGAACCGACTCCCGCAAGTTCTGACACACACACACATACACACACACACACACACACACACACACACACACACACACACACACAAATGCAAAAACCTGAATTAAAACCAGCTGAGAGAAACATAGGATGACCTCAGTTGGGAACTGTGAAGAGAAATGGATGACAGAGAATGGACTGTGACAGTAGTGTGTCTTTCTATCAAACTCTCAAGGCCCATATCCCCTAAGTACAGCCATCTCCCTCAGCTCTGTGGTCACCAATGCAGAAACCCAGGTCCATGCAGCCCCAGGCACAGGAGCTCCATTCTTACTCCAAGAGCATCGCCTCCTCCAGCCATAGCAATATGCTCTGCCTCCCGCCAGCTCCAGTGAACCTGGCATAGATGACCTCTGTGGCTCCTAGGGCACTAAGGACTGCATCCTTGCCCACTACCAGACAGCCAGAACACACACCCCCACCTCTCTCTACCCTGCCTGGGACTCCCATCTCTTCAGCCCCATCCAAGGGACCCAGGCATCCCTGCTCTATCTCAAAACCAGATCCTCACTCAGGGAGATGCAGTAACTTGTTCAGCTTTCTGAATCCCAGAAATACCTTGTTTTTGCTCACCAACAAGCTTTTAACAGACAGGTGGTCTTCAGGTCTTCGTCCCAAGGGCACAGTGCCATGCTCACCTCTGACTGCACCAGACCATTCTGTAGGTTTCATTCTGTCTGACATGCCCAGAAAGGGTTCCCTCTTTGCTAGCACTCCACGGAAGTTCCCACCTACTTAATACTAAGTTAGGGCAGGGCCTGATTCTTTGGAGTCTCTGAAGTGCCCTTGACACATGTAAGTATCCTTGGCTATAACAGAGGATGAACAAACCCCAAGAGCAGGAATGTAGCCACCATGGCATGAGTGACCTCACAGGAAGGTTTGCTGAGGGACAGGCCAGAACCAAAAGCCAAGAAGAGCAGATGGGTCCTCTCTTAGGGGAGGCTGATCTGCAACTTCCACCACAACAGCTTAGTAAGTAAAAGCCAGAATTTCCTGACTCTGGAAATGAGTCTGTTCAAATGGCTTAGTGAAGATTCCTGGGACCTTTCAGCCTCAGCTCTGTGAACTCACCCTGCTCCTTTGTCCTCTGTCAGACTCAACGTTCAGTTCCTCATACTTCTTTAGAGCAAGTTCCAATTCTGTTTTCAGGTCAATGGCCTTTTTTAAGTCTCCAGTGTAGGTGCCTGCACGGGTAAACCGCTGTAAAACAAAGGATGACTCACAAAGGTCTCAGACAGTCCCCAGAGAGCCCCATGCCCAGCCCTTTCTTGTAGGAAGGGACAAAGTGCTAGGGGGAGAGAGAATGCTCATTCCCACCCAGGTCAGTGTTCTTGCTTTCCACATCCTTGCTTTGCCTGGGCTTTCAGTCCAAGTTCACTGCTGAAGGCCAGATACCCTGTCTCACCTGGACCCAGGAGCACACAGTTGGTAGAAACTTGTTCTGGATGAGTTTGAGCAAGTCTCGGGCAGCTTGGAAGACAGCAAGGTTGTCTTCATTCTCCTGTACCTTCAGACCATCTAAAACAAGGCAAAATAAGTCACAGAGGAATGCTGAGGCTGGCTATGTAGTGGAGACCATTAAACCCACTGCAAATATGACTCAGCTGGTCCCAGACACTGGTCAACCCTGGGAGAAAAACACAGTCTTGAAAAAATCTGGGACAGTGTCAACCATTCTGGATCCATGAAAACATGGCTTCCCACCCAGAGGGCTAGACTGCTCAGAGTCATCTTCTCCTGTCCCCACCTCTTGGTCCCAGGGTCTCAGTGACCCCCGCCATTCTGCTTTTCCTTGACAGCCCCTTCATTTCCTTCACAGCCCCAGCTAGGCAGGACCTCTAGAAAGACCCTCAACTAGCACCTGCATGCTTACAAGGCAAGGTGCAGGCCTCAGAGATATTAACTTGAAGCTGTAGATCCTGAAGAGCCCCAATCCCTTCCAACCATGTCCCACATAACACACAGGCACCTGTGAGGCTACCTGGTCCAACAAAGGTAGGTGGATGAACAAGAAAGTACCTCAGTACCCCAAGACTGGAATACCAGGGCCAAGCACAATACTATCATATCCCTGTCATTGTAAACACAGCAAAAAAAAAAAAAAAAAAAATCAAGTTTTTATCACGTTTTCCTTCTAGGAAGGTGCTCCTGGTAGACCTTCAGGTGAATGCCCATACAGCCTGCAGGGACTCTGTACCCTGCTCATTGCCTCATTAGGAGAGGACTATAATGGCAGAGAATCCCATGTAGCTGGTTCACATTGATGGACATTTGGCATGATGGCAGAAGCCCAGAACAGAGTTACACAGGAAAGACTAACCACCAACCCTCTACCCCACATAGCCCCAAGGAGCTGCTGTTCCCAAGTCTAGTTTCTACCATGTAATAACCCGGTAGATAACCCGGTACCAGTAAAGGAGCTACGAACCTGGCTAGTTCAGCACACGGAGGCACTGCGCAGCACCAGCAGCCAGTTACCTGATTGGAATTCCACGTCCAGTGTGTACTTGTGGGAACCCAGCCCATGGCTCCGCAGGAACTCCTCTGGGTCGCTGTGTTCATCCTCATCCCTGGAGGGGTCTTGCGTGGCTGTTTGGGCTAGCGCCTTCAGACCAACAGCAGGTCCAAGATGGTATGCAGAGGTATCCAAGTCCTTGCTGCAGCATGGCTGCTCTTCATCTTGGGGTCCAGGGAGACCAGACTCATGAGGAGTTGCCAGGTCCAGGCTCAAGGTGCAAGGAGCATGACCCTCTATGGTGCCAGATACCTCACCAAAGAATTTATCCTCTGGGTTTGGGCCAAAATCCAAGGGCACCAGCAGCCTAAAGCAGTTCTCCACTTCTGTCAGGCAGCATCCAATCTCATCAGACATTTCTGCAGACATTGAGATAGCTGCTTACTCCGTCATCTTGAGCCAAAGAGCCAACACTGCTCCCCAGGCTCATGATGCCTCATGCCCTGGCACATGAATTACAACACTTTCAACTATTTAATAAACTATTTAGCACAACAGCTCTCAGTCTTTGAAGTGTATCTCTGAAGATGGTTGTGCGGCAGCTCACAGGAGCCTATGTGACCACTACCAAAGGCCAACCTTCCATTCAGGATGTTGGTCCCAAAGAGGCCACCCTCCCTGCCAGGGCAGGACACGCCATCATCACCACACTCTTTACAGGGTGGACCTTCCTGGAGCCCTTTAAGCCATCCACAGCACAGCTGCCTGCTTGAAGCCTTCCCAAAGGGCTGGGCTTTCAAGGCTGACAACCAGGGCAAGTGTATAAGGAGGCTCTGGACACAGAAGCAAAACAAGGCTTGTATCTGAAAACAGAGCAGCTGACCCATCTCCCAAAGACTGGCTCCCAGGAAGGGAACTAGCAAGAACAGATGTCGGACACAAGAAGAATGGCAAGATGGCCTCCAGCTAGAGCCCAAGTACAGACCTTCCTTAATTCACACCGACCTCCAGCCTCTCTGCTCAGGGAGTCTTAAGCCAAATCACTAAGTCACCAGGAGACACAAGAGCTACAAGAAACCTGTCAAGGTTCAACCCCACCCTCAACCATTCTTGCCCTGCAAGCCTGCCTGTGTGGGTCTCAGACTAGACTGAAGAACAGCACAAGGCCACAGGGGCCAGCTTCAAGGGCTCAGCCTAGAAACTTACCTTCCATTTCCCTCTTAGCCCGCTCAGCACTTTCCCTGTGGATTCTGTCCAAGTGCTTTTGCTTCTCTTCTTCTCGTTTCCTTTCTGCCACAGTCCTAACATTTATATCCCGAAAATCCACCTAAGAAATTAAGAAGGAAGTTTAGCATTGCCTACAGCAAACACAAAGTCAAAGTAAAAAAAGACACATTGCCATCAGCACAAGGCCAGGATCTCAGGGATCACTAGTCTACAGCACTTCAAACAAGGCTGCCTCATCTCGCCACATCTTCCCCTAGCTAGAAGAGGGAAGACATCAGTGCCCAGTACAACACCGTTCAGAAGTGGCATGCTCCTCTCACTGCAGGCTGGGATCGCCAGCTAGACCCAGAGACTAAACAGCACACAAACTCCAGAGAGTAGGAGACCACACAGGGACCACAGCCATGCAGGAAGGCCCAGCCATTTGCTTATGCTGCTGACAGGGACATGGCAGAATCTGGGCAGCGGCAGAGGGCTGGAAGACAGAATAGCACCTGGTATCTCACTCAGCACAGTACTAGTCAGAGCCCACGGCAAGAACTAAGCAGGGCTTACTGGCAAGAACAGGGTATGACCCAGGAAGGGGAGGCCATCGTAAAGCAGAGGGCATCTAGGACTATGATTCCACAGGCTCAGCTACACCCTCAGGCAGGTGCCAGGTGCAGCTTTCTTCCTCAAGGCCTTTCTGACCTGGAGAGAGCAATGTCCATTCTACTGCATGCTGAGCCAGCTGCTCTGCCTATCCAGCCTGTGCAATCTGCCAAACACTCAATGAAGAGAGCCCTCTCAGTCCTTGGCTAGCCTGCCTCACTCATCCTAGGGAAGCAGACTGCAGTGTCCAAGACCCACTTACCTTTTTGGTGTGTTTTAGGAAGTGGTAGCCCAAGGCTAGCTTCTTATAAGCCTCCCCAAACTTCTCATTCCAGCCTTCCACAGCCTGCATGGCTTCCTGCCTCAGCTTCTGGGCTGCCTCCCGTGGGGGTGGCAGGGGACAGTCATTATCTGTGCCCAGTGTGAGCTCTAGGAACTCCTGGAAGTCAGAAACAAGCAGCACTCTGAACTGATGAGACCTGGTGAACAGCTCATCCACGATCTGGAAGGCCGAGAGGCGGATCTCAGCATGGTCCTGAGTCAGCTGTGTCATCAGCAGGCGGTGGGCGTGCCTCAGCTGCTCCTCTGAAGACCTGGGAACACAAGCCAGCCTAACCAAATGCTCGCTCACTTTGTGTGTGAGGGCACTACATTACAAGCGGCAGGGACTGTGCTTAGCATCCAGTTTTCATTCTTCCCTCCTACAGCTAAGGGGACATACCACCTAGTAAGCATCAAATGTGACCCACTCCTGGCCTTTTTCTGTACTGCCCAAGAGCCAAGCACATTTTCTACATTTTCAAACGGCTAAAGCAGCTGTTGCTGTGGCACAGTGATAATGTGCCCGACTAGCATGTGTGAGGTCCTCAGCTGGATCTCCAGCGCTGCAGAGATGAGTTCATGGTTGAAACACACAAAAGAATGCTTTCTGACATATACACATTGCACTAAGACTCGAGTGTGAGGAGCTGGAGAGAGGCTCCGTGGTCAAAAGCCTTCGCTGCTCTTCTAGAGGACTAGGTTTGATTACTAGCACCAACATGGCAGCTCATAACCATCCCTACCTCTGATTCCAGAAGATCCGACATACTCGTTAGGCCTCTCCGAGCAGCAGTCATAAACGTGGTGCACAAACATACACACAGGCAAAACACCCATACGCATAAAATAATTTTTAAAAAGCAAATGCCAATGAGTTTTGTTGAAACACAGCTACCCCTGGATGGTCGCCAGCTATTTTGACAGTTGGCATCCAGTGTGCACAGACCTTTCACAGGATAGCAATAAGACAGAACAGGGCAGAGTGAGGGTCAGAAGGCCTCATACAGAACTTTACAAGATTAGCATATAAAAAGACGAGTGGGCAAAGAAGACTGTAACCCCAGCTAAGATCAACGCAAGCATGCTGGTGCTACTGTCCCAGGAATAGAGGCACTCCAGAATGTCTGAGAGTAACCAACGATTCATTATAATACTAAAATATACAACCCTGGGTGGAAAGTTAATATGTTAATGAGTCATGTAGTACATGAAATTAGATCTAGAAGTATATATAAGAGAGCACACACAGAAAGCTCGCGCTACGTAAATAAGCTCCCTTAGAAGTATATCCTTCCTTCCCTCTTTCTCTTTAAAAAAGATGTACTATTAGTGTGTGTGTGTGAGTGCAGGCACACACATGCCATGGCATGCGTGTGGAAGTCGGAAGGCAGCTTTCAGGAGCGAGCTCTCTCATTTAACTCTGGCTGTCAAGCTTGGAAGGTAAGGGCCTTTACGCACTGAGCCACTCGCATGGCAGCTGCTTGAAGACCCCCATCACAGGGTAATCTGGCAGAGGTCAGAAGTTAGCCCTTCAGGAATCAAGGCATGCTGTAGAAGTCACACATCAGGGCTTGGTGTGGTGGCACATACCTTTACTCTCTACACTCAGTGAGTCTGGGGCCAGCCTGGTGTACACAATGAGTTTCAACCTAGCCAAGGCTACACTCATCAAGGCTGAATCAAAAAAAAAAAAAAAAAAAAAGTCACACACCATCACATCCTGCGGCAGCTCCCTAGTAAGGACATACAACTTTAAAGGAGCCCACTAAGCCATGCCCACACATAACTTAGCAATCACTTTTCTGTCTCGTCTTCTCACTTGACCTGAGGCTTAGGTGATGGCAGACACAGAGTAGAGAGGGTGTTGGCTGGATGCTCAGAGACTCAGTTATGCAAGCATCTGTCTAGTTGGCTCTGGGCAGTGGCAATGGTGCAGTGGCTCCAGCCTGGAACATATCTGTCCTTAGCTGTGGTGAATGCTGCTCCTCCTGGCGCTTTCCTGCACCGTGAAAGCTCGCTCCTCTCTCTCCAGTCTTATCCTTCACAGAACTTCTCACTAGCTGCTCTGGACTTCTATATTGCTTCCCTGTGCTCCCCACATTCTAACCCCCCCTTTGCCTTTGTCCTCCTTGTTCACTTACAGTAGACAATCTATCTCTACAGCTACTCATTTAGCTTCCCAGATATTTTATACTCCCTTATACATGAGGTCCAAAGTCAAAGAGAAAAACTGCCTTTCCACTTTTATCCCGGACAACAACCTGAAAAAACCCAGAGCTACCCATGCAGGCAAACCTCTGATTAACCTAGCTGCCTGGGACTTTTTAGAAGCTCTCAGGAGAAGCCTTTTCCCACTGAGGTAGAAAGAAATGTGCTTGTAGTAGGGACCTGAATTCCATTCCAAGGCAGTTAATGCAGGACAAGGTCCCCAAGGAGACAACACGAGCTGGCTCCAACTCTAGCTGAGAGTAAGAAACATAGGAAAGATGGGGATTCAATCTCATAATTGGGGTCCTGACACCCCAGCAGGGACCTACAGATGTAGATTGGTGATAGAAAGCCTCCTTGCAGGGATGAAAACTTAAGAAACCTGTTAACTATGACAAGACTAGAGAACTTGTTCCATGTTTTATTTACTTTTCTGTTGATGTGGTGAGACACTATGACAAAGGCAACTTCAAGAACAAAGAGTTTATTTTGGGCTTAGAGTTTCAGAGTTAGAGTTAGGGTTTAGAGTCCACAATGGTGGAGTGTTAGCTGGGAGCTCACATCTTAAAGCTCAAACAAGAGGCAGAGAGAGCACTGCGGATGGCAGGAGGCTTTTGGAGCCTCAAAGCCTGCCTGGGCGACACACCTCCTCTCACAATAAACATCTCAGAAAACTAACATGGTTGGGAAATGGTAATTTTATTTCCAATACTGGTTTGTTCTCTTCCTGTCCTGATTGTTAGGTTTGTTTGCTTGTTTTCTGGTCACTTGACACAACCTAGAGTTATCTGGAAAAAAAAAACAAACAAACTTGGATAAGACAGTATCTCCATCCAACTGCTTGTAGGCAAGTCTTGGAGGTTCGCCCTTCCTTCCTTCCTTCCTTCCTTCCTTCCTTCCTTCCTTCCTTCCTTCCTTCCTTCCTTCCATTTTTTAAGACAGGGTTTCTCTGTGTAGTCTTGGCTGTCCTGGACTCACTTTGTAGACCAGGACCAGGCTGGCCTAGAACTCATCGGTACACCTGGCTCTGCCTCCCTGAGTGCTGGGATTACGGGTGTGCACCATGGCACCCGCTTCACTTATGTTCTTGATATTGATGTGGGAGGGCCTAGCCCACTGAGGGTTCCCACCACTGGGCAGGTAGTCCTGAGCTGTTTAAGAAAGCAGGCTTAGGAAGCCATGGGGAGTAAGCAAGTAAGCACCATTCCTAAATGGCTTTTGCTTCAGTTTCTACCTCTTTCTAGTTCCTCCCCTGATTTCCCTCAGTGGGGAATGTGACCTGAGAATTTGAAGATAAAATAAAGCCTTTCCCCTGCAAATTGCTTCTGGTCATCGTGTTTTTATGACAGCAAAAGAAAAAGAACTAAAACACAGACTTAAGCGATAATAATTAAGAGATCCCAGATCCCTTACTAAATAAACTTATGAATAGCCAGGGTTGATGAGAATGCTCAAAAGCCAAATGAGCTATTGTTTTCAGTCCCAACCTTTGCAATTGTTTAAAATATAATCCAATAACAAGCATATCACTGGAGGTCCTCAACTTAAAGTGAGAAGCCTTGTTATATCCACAGATTACTTCTGCAACTACACTGTAACGTAGATATCCAGGGTACTTGCAAGCTGTACCAGCCACAGCACTACTCAGATATGAACCTGTTAAAGATATAGATCTCAGGTGGAATATGAGGTCCAAAGGCCTTGTACAAAGCTTACCTAATTAGAATTTAAAAAAAAAAAGTGGGCAAACAGGAAGACGGGAGTCCTCTCAGCTAGGACCAACCAAAACTGACTGGCACCAGAGTGTCTTGGGAGTACCAGAGTGTCTTGGGAGTAATGTATGTTTCAATAAAATACTAAAAATGTACACCCCAGAGGGGATTTAAGATGCTAATGAGGCATTGTCTTCTTTACTCTTCTAGTGCTGTGATAAGACACCACAATTCGAGCAACATACAGAAGAGAGTTTATTGGGGCTTGTGGTTTCAGAGGGTGAGCCCATGAACATCATGGCGGAAAGCACGGCAGCAGACAGGTGGACACAGTGCTGGAACAGTAGCTGAGAGCTCACATCTTGAAACAACATGACGCAGAAAGCTAACTAGGTATGGAGTGGGCTTTCAAAACTTCAAAGCCTAACCAGAGTGACGTACCTCCTCAACAAGGCCACACCCCCTAATCCTTCCCAAACTATTCTACTACATGGGGCCAAGTACTCAAAAATGTGAGCCTCATTCAAACCACCCCGGATGTTGAATGCACGAGGTAATAATGTAGAAATACAATACACAGAGCAAGAAAAGCTCACAATAAGATACAGAAGAGCCCAACCCTTTATGTAACAGAGACATTTAGGATGTTAAACCTTTTCCCTGCTCTAGCCAGCTTCCTTCCTTGGAAGGGTATTCAATCTTAATATATTTTCTTGCTTTATTTGCTACCACACACACGTCTCTGTTCTGAAACACAAAAACCTTCCACAGGTGTCCTCTGAACCCCAGTGACAACAGGACAGGCCCCAGTGCACAGCCCCGCCCTCCTCTACAGGAAATGGAGTTAGATGCTCTCAAAGTCCTCTAGGCGGCTTCTCTTCCCCTCCATAGCACCCTTTGTAAATCTGAGTTACAGGTTTTTCTCGGGTGTGCAGCTAAACCAGGTCTGGACCAGAGTTTTTACGGAAATGTAAACACTCTACCACTTCATAAAGAACTACTTAAATTCTCTCCTTTTGTAAAAAAAAAAGATAACTAATGACCAAGGCAATGAAGGAATTTTGCTTCCTAACTAAATATGACCTGCCTCAAGCGGCAAGGCAGGGACCATCACGGTGCTGTCTTTGGAGGGATTAATAAGGGTGAGAATAAGTATCTTAAGAGACCGGGAGCACACTGATGGTGCATGCCTATGATCCTAAACTTGGTAAGTGGAAGCAGGAAGATCAGAAATGCACAGCCAGCCTTAGCTACACAGTAAGAGGTCAACCTGGGCTACACGAGTCTCATACAGAACAAAAATGAAAGAGAGAGTAGAGGGAGAGGTAGCTAAAAGGCGGTTTGCCTAGCACGCTTGAGGCTCTTGAACTCATCCCTAGAGCCAGGAAAAAAAAAAGCCAGGACCACTCACTCACCCAGTCATGAACTCCTTACTCCAACAGTAAAGACGATACATAGCGATTGCTTTCTAACATCCACGAATGGTCAGAGGCAGCAAGCTCAGCGTCTGCACTACATTCTGGACCCATGTGCCCTGGGATTACAGCGCCAGAACTCTTTCGGGGGTTCTGTGGAGTTTCTGAAACAAATTCTCACTATGTAGCCCACCTTGGCCTGGTCCTCATGATCCCCCTGCCTCCACCTCCCAACAGGCAAGCGCCACCATGCCCAGGTAATTCCTTTCCAGGTGGTGAAGGCAGGAGGTGGCAGAGGTGTACAAGCGGGCGGAGGGCTCGACTTCAAAGGGACCCCACCATCTCCACGGTGTGGGTGCTCAGTTATTATGGTACGTTTAACCTAAATACATACTTGCAAATTTTCTTCAGTTCCTTCATTTTCTGGGCATTCAGTTGGGATTCTCCTGAAGTTGTGAGCTCTTCTATCAACTGTGAAAGTTTCTGATCCATATCTAGAAACAAGGGCCGCGGAGACGCCGGGTTAACCTCTAGTACTTCACAGTCTCGGTTTTATCAACAAAGTTTCCTGGGGGACCTCCAAGTACTGGGGACTATGGCAAGGGCCTTAAGACCCATCAAGACCTTCGATGGTCATTAGCTTAGGTTTCGAAGAGGGAGAGTAACCCCGGCGATCTACAGTCAGCTGTGAGGGAGACGCCGTCGCCGGTTCAGAGGAAGTGTCACTAAATTATACTCAAACTGGCCTCCGCAAGCTGGCCGCACAGGATACTCGCTCTCTGCAAGCGACAGCCCCTCGACCACTGCAGCGGCGACCGATCCGACCCCGCGGGCCGAGAACCTGACCGACCACGACCGTCGGCGCACCGCACTCGCAGCTACAGCCGCCTCGGGAGACTCGGCACCGGGGTCCCGCCGCCGCTGTCACACGGAGCGCCGGATGCGGCAGCCTGTTCCACCCACCCTTTCCGGCGTAGGCAGAGCTCTGCTACAGGTCCCGAAGAGCAGCAAGCGCCCGCTCACCAGGCCCCGCGGCGCAGGAGCGGAAGTCACGGAGAGGCACCCGCCCTCGCCCAGTTCCTGTCAGACTGGGCCCCCCCGCCCGTCATTTGCCCGGGTGGTTCCATAGCGCAGGCGCGAGGACGCGGCTACGCGGTGACGCATGCGCCTCTAGGGGGCGGGGTAGCTCTAAGAGAGCGACCCGCGAGAAAAAGGAGACGGGAGGGCTCAGCAAGTTCTTAAAGGGGAGGGAGCCTTTGGGTCGGGAGCCTGAAGCCGGGGTGCAGGGAGAGGTTTGGATCTGGGCATCAGTTCCTTGGCCACCAGGAGGCTCGCGGCCCATGTACAGCCCCTGTACGTCGGCCGAGAAAGCTCCGAAGAGAGTCTGGGAGCAAGTCTGGTTGGGAGGGGCCGCCTCCCTAGCCGTGTCAGCCGTGTCCACCCGGAGGCCGGCCACCGTGGGAGGCTGCCCTAGGTAGTGGTGGTCGCTCTAACTGGATATTTTAAAGTGTCAGTTCCGTCTCAGCGTAGAATGATTTTAAAGGATATGGCGGCTCACGGCTAGAGCCGCTTGCTTCCTTCTCGACGATTTCACCGTGTCCAGGTCTCGGGCCCTTGCCCACCGCAGACTGCTTCAGCCTACCCGGGTCTAGATTACACAGATCCCGGCCTCTGTCACCTTAGCTCTCTCACAACTCGATCTGCTGGCTGGAGCCAGCCTTTCCTCTGTCAGCTCCTGGTTCACCCAGCAAAAGAGGCATACACCGGTCTTCCCTGTGTACCTTATGCTGGGCCGCGGTTTTCCACATTCAGCAAGTTTGAGTGTCCTGCGGTTCGCTTTTGCTTTTCTGGACTAGACTGCCCAGCACCGCTCCCCCGCCCCCCCTCCCCCACCTACCCACCCTTCTCCTAATCTAGGCCAGTGACCAGAGACAACTGGACTTTTTCTCTCACTCGGGTTCACATGTGAAGATCGTGCAGCCCAACTTCTGAATTGTTCAGGATGCGAACTCTTCCCACAACTTCGTGGCCACTGCCAGGTCCCAGGCCCTGCACACTCTTTGATGTCACGATTGATTGTGGCCTGCTGTTTCCCATTTCATATGCACACACAAAGATAAGCCACGGATTTGCCCCTTCCCCCCTCAAAAAAAAAAGTGAAAGCAAACGAAATGTGTTTGTGATATTTTTATTACATTTGTTTATTGGGGAGCTAGAAGGTGGGCCCTCATGCCATCAGGGCATCTCGAGAGCTAGTGTGGATTCCGCCACTCAGACTGAAGTTACCAGGCTTAGCAGCAAGTGCCTTGACCAGCTGAGTCATCTCAGAATGTCTTTTAAAGAATTAAAAAAAAAAAAAAAAAAGGCTCTGTGAAGACAGACTTGTATATATGTGCAACAAGGCATCCTTCAAAAGCTGAGCTTGCTGCAAACAGGAGCAAGCAGTCACATGCCAGCATGTCACAGGGACTCCCTTCTTCTTCTGAAGAAATGATATCAGATGCAGATTCTGGGCAACTAAAGAATGTAAATGATAAAGCTGATGAAATAATTTCACTTTTCTTTATTTAGGAAAAATTATGACAAGTTATTCAAGTGATATAGAGGGGAAAGATGGTAGTATATGTCCCAAGAGTTGTACTCTTACATAAATTGATATACTACTTGAAGGTACATTTTTATGATAATCACATAGTATATAATGGCATTTCAGTTGATGACAGACCAAACACAATACCTAATGGCATAGCAGACTTTTGTTTAAGTATATTCTATGAACATGTAACAATGTAACTGCCTAATGATCCGTTTCTCAGAGCATACCACTACCATCAAGAGAACCCCTGAAGTAACAAAATGAATAAGACACAGCAGGGCTGGGAGCGTGGCTTACTGATAGAGCATTTACCTAGCATGTATGAGGCTCTAGATTTGAGCCTATGCAAAAACATGGACATCGAGGATGGAAAGAAAGGAAGAAGGAGGATGCCACGATGGGTTAGCCTGAAGAAACCACATGGGGACGGGAGGAAGGACTCCAATAATGGCATGAAGAGGCCCAGATGAAGAATAAAAGCAAGTATTTCTAAGATTATGGATGGAAGATAGGATGGTTAAGGAGGATGGCGTTGGATGGGGGCTGGGAGATGGATGGTGAGGATATTCAGACAGCATAGATAGGAATATCTGACCGGCCCAAGGTAAATAAGGCAATTATAAAATCTTTAAAAAGAAAAGTGAACATCACTCTTAAGACTAGAAAGATAAAATGGGCTTAATTTAAAATAAATAAAATGGATACAGATGAAATGGAAAAAATAACAAAGAGCAAAAGATACAAATAGGAAAAAAGTAGCAGGTAACAGACATAAATCTAATAGTAAAAGTTACATGTCAAAGGCAGGCCTGGAGGCACATGCCTTTAATTCTCCAGTAGGAAGGGGCAGGTGGCTCTTTTTAATTTCAAGGCCAGCCTGGTCTACATAGTGAGTTCCAGGACAGCTAGAGCTATTGAATGAGACCCTGTCTCAACAACGAAACAATTAAATCTGGATGATGGGGCCTTCCTAGCCCCCAGATCAAGAATTCATAGGAAGGTAGTCTTCCCTGGGCACTGAGATTTTCTTTCAATAAGCTATTTGTTCTCAGGACTATCTGACACAACCTTCATCTGAAGTTTTAAATGCTTCTTTTGCTGTTCTTTCAGATGCTTTGTCAAACTTGAAAGACACCGCAGGCTACATAATGAGGCCTTTATGCAAAGGGTGGACAGGATCTTTGAAGTTTCACTGCCTTCCACTCAAAGCAAGTGAGATTGGTCTTGGGACTATGCAGACACTAAACAAGCCAGCAAGACATCATCATCATCATAGATGGATTGAAGGCACCATTCCATCTATCTCTCCATGATCCATCTAGCCTCTTCAACCACACTTTCATGTTCAAAAGGCCTGGGGGAGAGGGATAGCTGGAGAGGGGGCTCAGCAGTTAAGCACACTTGCTTCTCTTGCAGAGAACCTGGGTTCAATCTGAACCCAACACCTGGGCAGATACTCCTATCTACGCTGTCTGAATATCCTCACCATCCATCTCCCAGCCCCCATCCAACGCCATCCTCCTTAACCATCGTATCTTCCATCCATAATCTTATAAACACTTGCTTTTATTCTTCATCTGGGCCTCTTCATGCACTATTGGAGTCCTTCCTCCCGTCCCCATGTGGTTTCTTCTTCAGCCTAACCCAGCGTGGCGTCCTCCTTCTTCCTTTCTTTCCATCCCTGATGTGCACATTTTTGTAGATGAATTGTGGCTCTCACCTGTAACTCCAGTTCCAAGGGATCTGATTCTCTTTTCTGGCCTCTGTGGCCACTGTATGCCTGTGGTACACATACAGCTGTATACACATTTATATACACTCATATATACATAATTTTTTAAAAAAAAGGTCTTGGGATGACACAGCTTCATAGGCTCCAATTTACCCAAACATCCCTCAAGTAAAATTCTCCAATGGTTGTGTGCATGGTGTATTCCAGCAGTACATCCCTGTTTAAAAAATAATAATAATATCTATTTATGCATTTTGTTTCATGCAAGTGTGTTCACCATGCATGTGCCTGGTGCCCTAGGTTAAAAGGCATTGAATTTGCTGGAACTGGCATCACAGATGGTTATGTATGGGTGCTGGGAACCAAACCTGGGCTCGGCAAAAACAAGTGCTTTCAAACACTGAGCCATCTCTTGAGCCCCCAATCCCAAATTTTATTTCTATAGGGTAGAAATATACACAGCATACTAACGGGGTGGAGGGATTACTCACCCATAGAGTAAGCTTAGCCTTTTTTGCTAGCACTGCTCTTCCTCCATGTCCATCTGCTGCTGACCCTTGTTCCTAGGGCTTTTGGGTGTTATCATGAACTGAAAGTCCAATTGGCCCCAGTCTTCACTAAAGCCCAATGTTGTGCTCATTTCTAAACCTTATTTGCAGTATTTATGCCTCTACCTCCCTTCCACTAACCCTTTAACCCTAGGTAAGAGAGAGAAGGTTTGTGGGGAGAGAGGACACAGACCCCTTTACTTCTCCCAACTGTTGAGGGTCAATGGGTTCTTTCGGGGCTATAAAAATCTCTCAACAGCAAATGCAGTAAGCAGTCTCCTCCAAACCCCTGCGTTGAAATGTTTCTCTCCATCTGTCCAAGCCACCACACTCTCTGTCTTTGGACTCTCCAAACTGCCACCATTTCTTTCTGGGTTTTCCTATTTATATCCCTCAGAGTCCTAGACCACTCCTTTCTATGTGCTGCAAGAGGCAGGCTGTTACTGGCAAAGACCACGCCTGGCAGGAGGCAATTATCAGCTGTGGACAAACTACAGCCCAACTAAAATTCCACACTTGGGATTAAAACAAAAACATATTTACATAATATGAGTTTTTAAAGGAACCAAAACTTCCATTACAGCCCAAGTTTTGCTTATTAGAAGGGACTAACAAACATGAATTCAATGAGGGGCCTCTGACCACTCTGCAAAATCCTCAGCTGCAGGAAACATTGACCACCATGCTAAGGGTGCATCTGAGATTTCAATCTCAGGAGAGCTCCTTCCTCCACAGTAGTGGGAATACACCTCAAGAGTGGATGCCCAAAGTTATCCTTCAACCTCCATGAGTACACACACACCAACATACATACGAAACTGATGGTCTGAATGAGGATGGCCCCCACATGCTCATGTTTGAATGCTTGGTTCCCACTTGGTGGAACTGTTCAGAAAAGATTAAGAGGTGTGGCTTTCTGGGAAGGTGTCACTGGTTCTCTCTCTGCCTGATGGTTGTTCCCTCAAAATGTGACCTCTCAGGTACTGCTACAGCACACCTGCCTGCTGCCATGATGCTCACCGACTCTACCGCTCTGGATCAGTGAGCCCTCAAATGAAATGCTTTCTTCTAAA